ATAGGTATTGGCAGGGATGGACATCTTACGAATCTATCGTATCGAATGCCCAGTGGTGCTGCTCGATTCGACGGCCTGGCGTTCGACTCGAGTGCAGTCATATGTGATTCGCTTCGAATCTAGCGCGTGTCCCATAGATTCGACATCGAATCATGCAACAGCCATTCGAGTCGATGCCAAGGCTTCATGAAATTCGACTCGAACTCGAAGCGAATTCGATCGAGCAGTCATTAATGCCTGTCAAAATGGAGGCCACAAACTATCGTGATTCGTGACATGTGTATCGGCCAGCAGTGCTCTGTCAAGGCTCTTTTTACAAGCTTCCTGAAGTACATCATGGAGCAAGAAACACGGAGCGTGTCTTCCCATGGTTTCATGAGTACGTAAGCCTGGCTTGGCCCAGCCCATTACACATGAATCAACAGATGTTGCGGAGGATAATCAATTCATTGAAAATAGGGACTATATATCAGGGGTCGCTCCCGTTCTTCAGTGACGCCAATACNCCAACCCATTCATCATCACCTAGTTCAAACAAGGGCAGCGAAGGCGTGTAGATCCCAGCCTTACTCCATGAGCGGATACACTGAGCCATAGCCACTATCTCCCTGGCCAACCTGCCTCTCAACGGTGCCGTCATCAATCCTGCACTACTGAATGTCCTCTCGCTCTCTGCAGACGATGAGGGGATACTGAGCATATCAACAGCCATAATGGATAACCGAGGGTAGCGGTAGGCGTTGGTTTTCCACCAATCGACTGGTCTGCTCCTATAGTACTGACTGTTGACGATATCCTCAGCACAGTACCTGGAATATTCGTCATCCATCGCTGTCTCCACGGTCGTCTGTTTCGACTTTCGGGCGGTCTTGCGGGGGTGGGAGGCGGCGCTAAGTGGATTCTTGCCATATGTCGAGCTGGCGGTGCTCCTTGCAAGCCTGCGCTCGATGTAATCCATTGGGGCTTCATCGCTTGTGTCAAGGGCGATATTACCAACATCACGTCCCCTATAATTGTTCTCCCAGATCTGCAGGAGCTTCTCTTCGTAGTCAGCTCGCCAACCCTGCGCCTTACGAGCAGGGACTCGAGACCACAGTTGGTCAAGAAAACGCCACTTCTTCGCGGGGTTAAAGATAACGGCGCCCGCATATGCACCACTCGTCAGGAGAGCATAGTACTTGTGAAGTTTCTTCCACCCTAGTTTAATAAAAACCTTGAACAATCTCCGAGTTCTGTTATCAAGTCCCTCGTAAATGGCAACCTCGACATCAGTCCTCTTCTTGGTCGCCGGGTCCTCCATTTCCTCATAGATCGTGCCTTCGATGGCACTTTCGAGATGGTCAAGAAGCATCTCGAAAACAGGGAAATACTCGTCGAAACTGCCACAGGTCGATCTCTCACCGGGAACACCGCTGCCCTGAAGCTGCTTTGTGGCAATTTCAAAAGGCTTTAGAAGCTTGACCAGCATCTCGATAACCTTCCAGTCGTACCCGCTTAGCCGATACTGAAGAACCGCTGGCTTGGTGTTCTCACAAGCACCCTCAGATTCCCAGCGGTTCTGAACGTCATTGAAAAATGTATTAAGTGCCGGACGGAGGCGGAGAGCTCTCTCCATCATGCGCTTGTCTGAGTCCCATCGGGTGGCATTGTTAAATACCCAGTGGAGCGTTGATTCCCTACCGGATTCTTTGCGTTGAGACTGCAGAAATTGTTCATACAATTGTGGGCTCCCTCGCAGTTGAAGCCCAATATTATGCAGCATTCCCGCTGCGCCGCTGCGGCTATACTCCCTGAACGTGGTGCCATTAATCTCTTCTGGAGCCGGGTGGGAAGATGTGAAGTCTTCGGTTGGGTTACTAACAGCAACGCCGGGCCATGTCTCGTCTTCGTCATCTTTCAACTCTCCATCTAGCACCTCGTCAATAGCTTGATCTACCCGTTCCTCCTCATCGTCCTCATCGTCGCCATCAGCTGCGACAATCGCAGCCAAATTGTCCCGCTTGGAACCATAGAGCGTGGCCCGCACGCTGAGGTTGATGACATGGCAAGCACATCGGATTCGTCGCTCTTCAGGAGAGAAGCCGTACTCGAATGCGAGCTCCTTGATGCACGTATTATTGTTTGCTGCGTTGTCGAGAGTAAAGTACCCGATCTTTTCAGGATCATCGATTTGCCAGAATGCAAGCGTATCCGCTACCTCATCAGCAAGACATGCGCCAGTATGTCGCCCGCTAAGGGGTCGAAGCCCAAGGAGGATTCGGTGCTGGGCGAAGTCGCTATCAACAAACTGCGCGTTGATCCCAAGGAATGACACGTAGGATTTCGACGTCCAGCCGTCGAAGGAAAAATGTATTTGNCTATCCAGCACCTCGTCAATAGCTTGATCTACCCGTTCCTCCACATCGTCCTCGTCGCCGTCATCAGCTTCGACAATCGCAGCTAAATTGTCCCGCTTAGAACCATAGAGCGTGGCCCGCACGCTGAGGTTGATGGCATGGCAAGCACATCGGATTCGTCGCTCGTCA